CTTTCCCGCTCCACAGTCTCTGAATTACTCAAACCGCCAGGCCTTGGGACCGGAGATGGCCTCGGCGTCCTGCTCCTGCTCCTGCGGCTCTTCCGGCTCTGCTGGCTTCTCCGCATCCGCGGGCTTCTCCGTCTCCGCATCCGCGGGCTTCTCCTGGCCAAGGGCAGACAGCAACCGACACATGCGATCACCCTTCCATAGAAGAAACCCCAAATGCGAGACATCCGTGTTGTGTGACAAGTTCCTGCCACAAGAAGTGCAATGCAGGGAAGGAAACATGCCAGTCCCCATGCCGACTCCTGAGTTGCTACTCGATGTCCAAGCCGCAACTCTCGAAACACTGCCTTCTGCGCCGCTGTCACGTACCATTTGAACTGGGATTTGTTGCGTGTAATCTTTCAGGCACATGTGTGGCTCCAAGACTCATCAAGGTCGAGGAGCTCATGAATTGACCGAGGTGACTTTTCCATTCTCCACTACGTGCAGTGCACAAAACCGCGCATGAAAGCAAGGATCCAACACGGCTCTGAGTCTGGTTGTGGGCGGGGCCGTGCAGTCGTTGCGGGTGAAGTGTGTCGTCGACAGAGCACGACCAATCCGCCAAAGAGATGAAGTCCGATGCACACATGCGTGGCCGCTTTGCACGCAGAACCAATGGAAACAACTTGCCAATCCGATCCGGGCATTCCACACGAGATCATGCTAGAATGAGCTACACTCGCGCTTGTACTGTCGCGAACAAGGCCACACATTGTGGGAGTAACTCAACGACATGAGGTTGGAGGATGCGCCAGCCTCCTTTGCAACGGCCCTGGACGGTGCCTGGCCCAGCTACTGGACACCTCAGTGGCAACTCGCAGATCTGGCACCAGGAGATGCACACTTCACTCCATGCTACAGTTTTTACAGGGGATCTGTAACCCTAGTCATCTTGCAGATTCCCCTGAGACAATATGTACTCCCAGCTTAACTAGACATATCCCACAAAACCAGTTGTTTGAATACCCAAAAGCGCCCGCAGAGGAGTCGTCTTGGATCGTGCACGAATCACAGACGAGCAAAGTGGGGATGCAGTCCGCAGCTGGACATTTACAAAGTAGTCGTTTCCCCCCGCCCCCCACCCCCCAACCCCCGTGCAACTACATCTGATCCACCATGCCATGCCGCTGAGCAGTCAGTGCTCCAGCATGTAGCAGATGTATGACGACGCTGGTCGTTGCTGCACGAGCTTTGGAGACGAATGCGCAAACGGCAGCATAAAAAAAATTGATTGCTGCGGGAGATCGGCAGGGATAAGCTACTCCCAAAGAGGCCGATTGCCAGCCGATGCGCTGTGCAAAAGCACATAGACATAGGTGAAGCGGAATATCGGAATTAACCGACCGTGCCATCTTCCCGAAGATGTTCCTTTGGGCCTCGGACTTGCTGTAAGAGCTTAGCGCAGAGGCCGCTGATGCAGCTAGGACGGCCGAGGCTGAATGTTGGGGCGACGGGAGTATATCCGGCCGTCCGTGAGATCGCAGCAAGAAGCGTTGCATCGGAAGAGGAAGATTGTCGACGGAGGCAAGGGGAAGGCCCCAGTGGCACCTGGACTGGCACACATCGGGGCCCAAGCAACAGCTCCTTGAGCCTCCAGCCTACGATCGCCCTGTCTACGAAATGCTACGCTGCTACTACCACTGTGTGAAACTGTCCTGGCATTGCTGTACATGGTGAGACGTGGCCGGCTGGTTCGAGCTCCCAACCAAAACGGGCACAGGTGCTCTTTGCACTGACATGTGCGAGTGAAACGGTTGTCAGAGTCTCTACTGAATTTTTGCTCGCTTCCAGCAGGAGCTAAGGCGCTAAGGCAGGTGGCCACAATATGTCCATAGAGCAAAGTCGACAATGCAGGGCTCTGCAGCCTGAAGATCTCAATCAACCTAGAATTGGGACAATTGACTCTATGAGAGCAACATGTCGCAGCTGCCGGAAACCCCGGATCAACTGCACATGCAGCTGACCGAGCTGGATCTGTTCCTATCTCCGTCACTCCGAAGTATGTGATGTTGGCGCGAAGGCTTTACAGCCGAAGACCCACAAACGTCGTTGCATCTCAGACCACATCGCTGCGTGCATGCGAGGTGCCTTTGAAAGGAGAGTCGCGACATCCCCACGCTGCCGCAGCTGCAAGCCTATTTTCTATAAGTGTCCGCTCTGTACTGTCCTCCTTGCCTGACTGCAGAGTCACACGGCTTTGTCCACTAGTCGAAGTCCCTGCTGGCTCCTGTAGTGCACCAAAGCACCTGAGCAGCCGGTGTTCGAAGCTCGGAGAAGTGGCCTCTCGTGGACCAGACAAACATGCAAAGCAGCCCTGTTCGAGCATAGTCGACAATGCAGGGCTCTGCATGGCAGCCTGAAGATCTGAATCAACCTAGCATTGGGACAATTGACTTTTTATGAGAGCAACATGTCGCAGCTGCCGGAAACCCCGGATCAACTGCACATGCAGCTGACCGAGCTGGATCTGTTGCTATCTCCGTCACGAAGTATATGATGTTCATGCGAAGGCTTTACCGCCGAAGACCCACAAACGTCGTTGCATCTCAGACCACATCGCTGCGTGCATGCGAGGTGCGCTTAAAAGGAGAGTCGCGACATCCCCACGCTGGCCGCTGCCGCAGCTACAAGCCTATTTTCCGTCCGCCCTGGGCGCCCTGTACTGTTCTTTGCCTGACTGCAGAGTCCCATGGCTTTATGAAACAGGAGAAGAGGTCGTTCAAACTACCTCCGCAAGTCTTCGCCCCAGCCAAACCGTCCAGAAGTCTCTTCTCCTCGCCTGCCATGAGCGGCTATCAGCTCACATCACCGCAGCCCTTGCTTGGGCAAACCACTCGAACTTTCGGATTCTGGGAGCTGAGGCGGCCTTCAAGGGCCAATCGTCACGAGCCTGGTCAGCACCCGCTCACGACACATTATGCAGTATCCACCGGCCACTCAGTGGTCGGAGCCGGTCTGAGCCGCTCCAAATACGAGTATTTGTGAGCCAGATTGTGCGAACCAGACCTAGGGAATATGGGGATAATTCCGGGATAATGAACTTCGGGAGAGGTAAGGGGTATGGCAAGAATACGAATGCTAACCTAGACCCTTTAAGCTCTTAGACCCTTTGATCTACTCACCACAGCCCTCGACATTGACGAATCAAGCCGCCTCCAAGAATCTCACATTGCCGGGCCTTTGGATTCCTGACATCATAGCAGCTGCACAATCACGGCATCATTCTGAATGCAACTGCCGCAGAAGACAGAAAGATGTGGTGACATTCGTCCTGGTACTGTACTGCATTGCAGAGCACTGCGACCGAGTAACAGACAGAGGAGGCCTTGAACCTGATCTCATGGCATAACAAGAATGGACAGGCGCACCTCAAGTATGAAAGCCAAAAGCAGATTTAAGCACATCGAGAAACACCCCGAAACACGGCACCATCCCTGACGCATAAGGTTGTATTTCGAGTATATCCACGGTCGGCTACGGACAAATCGGAAAACAAACTCGACAAGAAGGCAAAGCCAACTCAGAAAAACTCCAAAGCTCAATAAAGCAAGTTCGCAAAAAAGAACGGCGACCTATTCAGAGCACTCAACCCGAAACCCTAATGGTTTGCCTTTCTGTTTTCCGAATCGTTTCAGAACCGTGCTACTGCCATGCAGGATTGGCCTTTTTGCAGAAACAGAACACGTCTTGCTATCTTCCTTGTTCAAAACTTCTTTATGCTGTTGCCTATCCAAAAAAAACTGCAGCGCTGGTCAACCTTGCCGTCTTCGTTAGTTTACTTTCCCTTGCCCGCAAACAAGGAAGGCAGAAATGAAGCTCCCCAAAACCTGGACGAGAAGAGCCAAGGACCACCTTTGGCAAGATAAAACATCCACTTCCGCGCAGGATGCAGCTGAGTTCTTGGCAAAGATCAAGCCGACAGACCAAGGAGGACTCAAGACTAAGGGGCCCCGCAGTTGTCCAAGCTTGGACAGACCAGCAATACCCATTGAGATGAAGTCGGGCAAATGGGCAAGATTGCAAGACTTCCGAAATCCGCCGCCCGTGCAGTTACGGGAATGTCACGGAATGTCCAATAGCAGTGGACCCGACATGACCCCATTATCAAACACGGGCTCAAGCAAGGCTCATTCTTCAGCAGGAGGCATGACGTAACCCCACCGCGACGATCTGCAAGCAAAGCGCATGCTGTCCGCCATCGTGGAAGGACATGCATTTCTGCAAAATTGTTGACTGAAGCAGAACAACAAACGTCGAGTGAACTGCATATAAGGCAAGTCTGAAAGTTCAGCCTGGAAGACTATTGAAGTCTGTTCGTCCCGCGCCACTCCATCACAAATTATGCATGAACACTGTGGTGCATTTGCTGCCAGCAAAGCCGCAAGCGATATGCTTGGTCGGAAATCTACATTACTGCCTTCAGCTGGCACGATTTGCAGAGATGTGAAATCACAAGTGCGTTGAGCGGTGTAAGAGTTTGGAGACGAATCAAAACGGGTTCAGGCTCAGATGTTTGAAGCAGTGCAGGAAGCACTGATATGAGAAGCTAAGAGGAAAGGAACAACAATGTTGGGGCAAGTTAGCCCAGAAGAAAAGTGATAAAGACGCTGATATAGCTGAAAGCTGTCGTGCGGCTGTGCCCTGGCAACATGGCTGTCAGAATTCCCAAGCCTGCCAAATCCTGCCAAGAGATGCTAATGGCATAAATTTGACGTAGCACATGGTGTGTTGAATGCATCTCAAACAGTCCATGTCTTGTTCCTGGCGCGAGTTGGGCACTTTAGACCTTTAGACAAAGTTACCGTCCATGCCTGGTTCGTTGTGCAACGGGCACCTCGGCTTTTTCATCTGGGCATGACAGAGAATTCCTCCATACTGTTGCAATTGCAGCTGAGAACATTTCCAGTCTATCGTTTTGAACCCCGCTGCTTGGATCAGCCCCACGACGCTCGGACAAATCCTGAGAATACTGATAGTCGGCAGACAGATCGCGGTGCCGAACAAAGGAGGGAGGCACAGGACAGAATTCGTCTTCCTCCGGGACCTGACCCAGAGAGGAGGGACAATCTGGAACAGAGGTTGAGGCTAGGGTTTCGGACGTGGAAATCGCGAATAACTGCCTGGAGCCTGACCTTGAGAGGCGGACAAGCTCGTGGTTCGTTTACAAACTCATGGTTGGCTGCACGCAATGTCGAATCGGGAGGGCGCCCGGTTTGAGGCTTTGCAAGATGCGGTGGGAGGAGAATATGCCTGGCCACGGCTGAATCCCACACGAAACCAAACTTGCGTTTCCGCACATCGCCTGATTGGTTTTAAACAGCATCTCGTTCTGCTGTTGTATGGGCAAGCTACCTGGTACCCATACAACAGCTGAACGAGATGCGTCCAAAGCGACCACTAAGAAGACGACAATTAGCATGCTACTCCGAGTATTTTTCTGCCTAGCCCATTATTCACTTTCAACCTTCAAGTATGTATAGGGAAACATGCCCTCTTCGGCAGTGGAGGCAGCTTTGACGATCGAACCATCACTCCAGCCAAAACGATCAAACAGACGGCGGCGTTGGTACCGACTCAACACGAAGGAAGGCGGGAGGGATCAAGTCTGCAGAGGAGTACGCCTCTGTAGCAAAACAACAATTCCGAATCACCCTTAACAAAGCCTCGGCTTCGAGAGGAAGAACGGCAGGAACACTCCAGATTGCGAAGCTCGGAATCCCACGAACAAGTAGAAGGTGACGGGAGTTGCTGGTAAGAAAACCTGTGACAGTTGCCTACCCAAAGCCCTAACCCCAGCGAAACCTGTATCACGGCACGAGCTTCTCTCCCGTTGAGATGATCCACAGGAAAATTTGAATGAGCGTGCATGCAACAAGAGTAAAGAAATACTGCGTAAAGTGTGCACAACAAAGACACATAGTACACTCCTCAAGAGCTGGAGGACACAGAAACGCACACACTCATCCAATCGCCTGCTGGAGCAGAACCCACAAGACATGGACTGCTGGTCTTCTTTAACTAAGGACAAATCATGGGGGGCTGCACGGCCGACATGCCAAACCCGAAAGGGAACAAGCGCAAGCAGAAGACGTGAGTTTCGAAGCTGACTGTGAAACGGAATTATACAAAGACCGGACGAGCACCCCCACAACCGGCAACCCGGAAGGCTTTCAACCCTGATCGCTTGCAAGTCTAAGGCCGCCTCGATTCACGGAGACTTGCAGTCGTCCAATCGTGGAATCCAGCGATTCTTTAGACTGGCAGCGGTCCCTGGATGCTTCTTTTGAGGAAAAGCTCTGGATGCTATGGGTTTATGCCAGCTTCAGACTATCTAGGCTGCAGGTCGGCTTTGCTACGCTGTCTCGTTTTCACGGGTCTCTGCAGAGATGAGTTTAGACGAAGGGCTTGTGATGAGTTCCACTGGATTTCGAGATTGTTTCGCTTCTTTCGCAGGCACTGCACTTCGGGCTTCGGGAGGATCAGGTCGGTATTGAGTCTTGGTTTAGGTGGGTTGGGCTTCCTGTAGAAGTCTCGACAAACTCAAACGTGTGGCAAGAGCCATGAAGTCTTCAGAACCTGAAACCGAATTTCAATCAGGAGCTCTGCCGAGTGCGTATCTTGAAGTCTACAGGACAAAGTATGCTGAAGGTTGCAAAAGGCCTGCTGACGGCAATCATGCCACCTGCCTGCCCTGCCTGCCCTGCTATCACTAGTACCGCAGGTTCTGTTCCATGTGACACTTCAGGCATGAGTCGGCTTACGAGGGCTCCAACATTAACAGGGAGTAGGATAGTAGGATACGCTGACAGACATTCCTGGCCCTTCCAAGCCTACGAGAAGCCTGAACGTTCCCAAGAGCATGCTGAGCACGCTAAGGCTTGCGTGTGGGCGTCGGGGCAACGGCCCCCTGGATCCTGGATTCTCATATTATCAAGCAGAGTGCTCCTGCATAGGCTTTTGCATACGATTTCGACATAGTTGATTTGGTCCGGCTTCGGCATGGCTGCCACTCGGCCTTGAAGGGACACTGTCGGCTCACGTGGCTGGAGAAGATGGAAGATGGCCAGCATCTCCCGAACTCAACTCTGCGGAGCTCGGGAGATGGTCAAGAGGCAGCTCACGAGAATCGAAGGAGACAGCACTGGATTGTCGGCAGGAACTGATGCGGCTGCCCCAGTGGCTGCAGAAAACCTTGATGAGCAAGATGGGCAACGATGGGGTGAAAAGTGCTGTGTTTGCGCATGCACATGTTACTCGATCAGTGCTTACCTCAACCATATGCGACAACAAATTACATGGATTTTTGGGTGTGCGAGACTCGGAGAGAAAGGACACGAGGACTAAGCAAGCTGTTCGTGCCGGGACATTGCTAAAATAGAGTCGGCACCAGAGGAGCCGCGAAAAATAAGCACGAGATCCGCGGACCGCTTCCGCGCGACCAACCCATCTGCCCGGCCTCTGTCCACAGCGAACTGTGTAACCTTGGCGAAGCCCGGCGAGAACTGGCACGACCTGCAGCGAACCTCTAGTGAGTGGTTTGCGATGATGACGGTGCAGACGTTGGTGACAAGCAAGCGTTGTGCGAGAATCATTTTAAGTGCCCCGTTGCGTCTGGTTCGACAACAGGAGAAAGATCCTCTAACAATCGATTGGAAAAGGAGACTCCTCCAACATGACATAGTCAACGAGATCTACAAGCTTACAAGTTGATGTAATCCATGAAGACTCTGAGCTGATTGAATCCATTCATGGCAGCATAGGCGAGCTTATCATGTAGCGACATGTTGCCACAAGAATGAAATCTTGCACATGTTTGCACGACCTACGATCCTTTTCTTTAGAACACAATCGTGGCAAGAAGGTTGTCGTTTCCAGGACGGTTTGTTCTCATGTGCGCCGGCTGCCAGAATTGGTCGAAACAACCCGCTGCACACAAGCGAGGAGATCAGTTTTTTGCGCATCTCAGCTTGAGTCTTGAGATAGGGAGACAATTTCATGCCAGGTTGAAACTTAGGACAGGGGTCGTTGGTGATTGAGAGATGACAACAGCAAGGAGGCCCGGTGTGCAGCTGTGGCCTGGGCATTTGGAGCGTCGCTGGCAAAAGGGAGACCGACTTTTTCGAACGCAGAATGACAAGGCTCTTGGTTTTGCGATGCATCCTTCGATCTTCTCGCAGGAACCTTCTGGTACCTGCCTGAGCTGCAGCATGTTGCCGAAGCATTGAAGAAAAGGAAGACATGGAAGGCCGAGGTTCATGCAGTGTACAAGAAAGCTTCGCGAGAGCCACGCACACGCACGCGCAGCACGCTGCATGTGCGGAAGGCAAGGGCAAAAACAATCAGGACCGGTAAGAATGGCATTCGGTAATGTACGACCGAGACCGACAGCTGCACCTCATGGAACGACAATCAGCAGACATAGCATGCTGTTCCCAACTGGTGCAGCACAGGATGCTTGCACGTTCGCTCTTGGACGTTTGCTTTTGCTTATCTCCAACCGAGCCCCAGGAGCAACCTCCTAAAAGTAGAGATTAGGTTTGGAAGAAGCCCCTCCAGGTATGCGCCGGTGCCTGCCCTGCATCCTCCATCTTTTCTTCTGCTGCGGAAACTTCCTCTTCCGGCATGGCCTTGGCTGCTGGATCGTAGCAGTCTTGCCAGTTCCCAAATGCTCATCTCAGCCGCACACTTGGCAAATCTCCAAAAGGAATCAGCTGCAAGGAGTCGAGGGGTGTCTGGGAATGGCTGTAACGGCTGCTGACGACTGAGTGCATCTGACTATAGCATCTATAGCCTACCACAAATGACATCTCCGCTCTGACCTTGCTTTTCTGCGTCGAGGCCCGTCTAGCCGGCGGACGCTAGTCCGCCTTTGCATGTTCACTGTTCGTCCCGAACGGATGAAATGGCACCACGTACCTGGTCAGGTGTTGAAATGCTGCCGAATATCGGGGCACGAAAAGAACAGATCCCTCAGCAACATTGCTCAAAGGCAAAAACAAACCCGTCTTTTAAAAGATCTCTCCGCTCTGCTCGGCTGCGAGCATGCTCGCAAACTGAGATTCTGGATTGCTTTCCAAATCCTTCGGATTGCCTATCTCAACCACATGACCGTCACCGAGTACCACGACAGTGTCGTAGTCCTGCAAGGTGGCGAGTCTGTGCGAGACCACCAGTAAGGTTGTTCCTTCCGGCAGCCGCTTGAGTGCTGACTGCACCTTCTCATCTGTGCCCTTATCTACTCGCGAGGTGACCTCGTCCAGAGCCACAATCCTCGACTTCCGGAGGACGGCTCGTGCTACTCCGATCAGTTGCTTCTCTCCAGGCGAGATTCCGCCGGAAGCAGAGACTCGACGCTCCAAATCCCAGTTACCAAGCGAGGCCGCCTGCAGTGCATGCCGGACTTCCTCGTCGCTGTAGCTACCTCGAGGATCTACGTTCTCGCGAACCGTGCCCGTCACCAAGAAGTTGTCCTGGGGGATGGCAGTCACAGAGGACCTGAGTCTGAGATTCTTTGAGTCGTGTCGGATACCCAGAAAAACCTGAGGCTCGCACCTGAGGCGGGCCAGCCCAACTTGGCGGAGGTCCACACCATCCACTTTCACGGATCCCTCTGAGACTTCCACCGTACGCAGCAGCAGTCGCAGCAATGTGGACTTCCCACTGCCCGTTCTCCCAACTACCCCAATGCGCTTGCCTGCGGCTAGGTCAAGGGAGAGGCCCCGCAGAACAGGCGGCAAGTGCTTGCGATAGCTGAAGGACACATCCTCGAAGGAAATGCTTCCGCTGACGGGCCAGGCGCTTGGAAGTTCCGCATCAGCAGGCAGCTCACGAGAGGCTTCAAGCTCTGTTGCAGAGAGTGAGTCAGAAATACGCTGAAAGGACGTAAAGCTGGTCTCAGTCTGGGCAATGGTCCGCACCGTCCAATTCAGCAAGCCACAAACGGACAGTGCCTGAGTTACAGCGATGGCTGCCCGAGCCGCCGCCCAGGCACCAGCATTGGCCCCAGTCCACAAACTTAGAAGCGCAGCTGCCAAGACGATGATGTTCCCGAGCAGTTCCATCCGAAGGGAAAACCATCGATCCACCGCCTTGGCAGCAAAGGACACGGCTGTGTTCGAGTCGATGGCGCGCAAGGCACGCGCCTTGGAGGTCAAAAAACGAATAAGGCCTCGGACGACCCCCAACATCCCCAGGACTAAGTGATGCGAATTATCCGAAAATTCAGGTGCCTGGGCAGGGCATGCAGAGGGCATGGCTGGGACCCGGACTGCCATCACATTGCCGAGGCCCAGCTTGCGGATCGTGATCACCCCCGAAGCGGCGGCTGCTTGCTCCGCGTAGACCGGGGACCTCGCCAAAGGCTCAAGGCGCTTGAGTTCTCGAGCGACAGGACGGTAGTATTGCAGGGAACGTGTGTACAACCAGAGCAGGGGCAGCATGATCACTGCGAAGCTCGGGGTCGCCAAGACAATCGTGACTGCAGCTCCAGCAAGCGTCGTCACGCTGGACACTGCTGACCGCAGACTGTTAGGGAGGCTGTTGTCGATCTGCTCCAGATCTTTCGAAAAATTTTGCAGCAAACGGCTGGAGGGATTGCGGTCAAAGTGGGAAGTTGACGCCCTCACCAAGACCTTCTCACAGAGATCATCATGAACTGCTCGTGAGGCCCTTCGGGAAAATGCTGCTATAAGCAAAGACCGCCCAAAGGTCAAGCCAGAGGCCAGCAAGCCCCAGAAGATCACACCCAGCATGTAGTAGCCCAAGCCCCGCTTCATGGTAGCATCGGCCGTCCACAACCCGATCCACCATTGCTGGGCAGCTGTCGCCCCATAGCTTGCAATCACCGCCACAACTGCGAGGCCCAGGAGGAGCGGGCTTCGGGCACTTTGAAAGTAGCGAGCATAGAGTTTCAAAGGCACTGCACCAGAGGCCCTTGCCTCCTCCTCAGTGATCTGTTTGCTCTTCGGCTTTTCTTCTGTGCCCTCAGAGCCCTCTTCCGAGACCTCCATCGGGTCCTCAAAGCTTTTCTTGGGCTCACTGACTTCTGCCTCTTCAGTGACGGCGACCGTGGGCTCTGGCTGTGCTTGTGGCAAGGATAGCTCCAGCCTGCCTGACTCAGCCAAAGCAGCGTAGCTGCCTGCGAAGTCAACTTGCAGCTGAAAGGACCCAGTATCCGAGCTGGGCGACATGACGATAATTCGGTCGCAGCGCTGCAGCCACGGTCCGGGGTCACTGGAAACTAGCAGCGTGGCCATGTCCTGCAATGGACCATTCAGACAGTTGTTAATCACTTGAAGGGTGACTTGCGGATCCAACGCCGCCGTCACATCGTCCAGCACGCAAGCACAGACGCTGCCAGTTTCTGCTTGGTACATCGCCCTGGCAAGAGCCAAGCGAGCTTGCTGCCCGCCACTCAAGGATGTCGCACTGACCTCATCGTTCATCTCGGCAAAGTCGACAGCAGCTGCGGACAAGGCTCTGGAGAATGCACCATAGTCCACGTCAGGGACGAAAGGCGCCGTCTCATCCATCCACACTCCAGCCACCACTTCCAGGAGAGTTCGCCCTGCGGCGGCATGGAGCGAGAGAGCAGGGCTAGAGTTGCAACTAAACGGTGCGTCCTTCTGGAATCCACGGCTGTTGAGAACAGTAAGCCTTGGACATGGCGTCTCATGCCTCACCGACCTCACCTTTCCAAGAAGCCACCGTAGGCCTGTAAGGCGCCGGCTACATTCTGCGGCGGCGCGGGCAAGGAGGTGCCGGGCAGCTCCCCAAGGAAGGCTCGCAACTGGCATCAAGAATCAAGCGCAATTTACCAAAACACAGCTAAGCTCAGTCCAGCTCTCTCACTTATGTCATGCTGAGCTTTCGGCCAGGGTAGACTTGCCGGAGCCGACGGGACCGAGGACGCCCACCAGCTCGCCGTGTGCGACGCTCAAGTGCTCGGAGACGACGAGTGTCGGGGCACTGTGGCCCTCGTGGCCTGCCGCGTGATCCTTTCCAATGCGATAGCTGCCCGGGACCAGCAGCAGTGGTAGCTGGGCATCCTCCGACATGGGCGGCCGTGGCGCGGCAGCCTCTTCCAAGCAAAGGAAGCCGAAGATTCGCTTCAAAGCCGCCTGGCCCTCTGCCAAAGCATTCAAGGCACTGGGGTAAAAAAGCAATGGGAAGCGGATCTGGTTCAGCAGTGACAATGCCGTGAAGATCATGGCCGCATTGAAGCTGGCCCTTTGGCCTGCCACATATGCCAGCAACACGACCGCGATCATAAAGGGGGGAAGTGCGCTGAAGTAGGACAGCAGATAGGCGCCTGAGCTGCGTGCGAGAGTGCTTCCAGGATTCAGCATAGCACCACCACATCACTTTTCGAAACTACGATCTCAAAAGCAAATTCCGATCTAGGTCCAGGCACCCACGGTATCCCTTTTCCGTTGGGCCGTTAATTCGGAGTCACGGAGCCGGCGGATGATTCGCTCGAAGACGTCCTCCCAGCCCATTTGGCGCAAAGCCCGAATGCCGTTCAGGATCTCCGCCGTCTTTGAGACTCGGGAATCTGTCGTTTGTAGGCAGGACTTATTCAGGCCACTAAGTTGACGCTGAAGACTGGCATTGAAAGGCATGAATACGACGAGAATCACTATGCCAGCAAAACCAGCCAAACCAAGATACCACCACAACAGCACCGAGTAGCCAACCACCTGAAAAATGCCATCCCACAGAGTGTGCAGCGAATACGTCAGCTCCTCCACCTTCCCTGTGTCTACCTGCATGAGTGTGACGGGAGGCACGGCAGCAACAGCCTCATGTAAGCGCAAGCTCTTCTCGTAAATCGAAGCCTGCAACATTGCTCGAACTCGAGTGGCCATTACGGTTGTCTGATGAAAAAACTGGTTTTCAATCACCGTCTTCAGGCACAAGACCGCGAAAAGGGCCAGGGCAGAGTTCCTTCCAGCTATAAAGTTTCCTTGCTGTACTGCTCGGAGTAGAGGTCCCAAAAACAATGCAGGCAAGAATTGCACCATGGTGTTCACAAAGCGGAGCACGCCGGTGCTTAAGATGCGTCCCCGGTGTAAGTGCAGTAGTGCATTACGCAGCTGGATGTGGCTCAGCCCTTCTGGCTCCTGTGCCGCAGCGTGGCTCTTGCCGTGGGCAGCCCGCCAAGACGTCTCCAGGAGCGCCGAAGAGAGCTCGCGCGCTAGGTCCGCGGCACGCCTCAAGCTCAGGTATAGTACACAGAAAAGCGAAAGATTAACGACACGAAGTCTTGTGCGCACAGCTTTGCGGATGACGTTGGTCACAAGTTTATCTTGCTGACATGTGGCATATCACGAGGTGCAGGCAGGAGCTGAAGGGTTTCAATAGGAGGTGGTCTGTTCCCACGGCGCATCAGCGCGCTTACCCACGAAAATGTCGCGCAAGACCATAGTCTCCGAAGGCCACCCGATACTGGAGGAACAGGAGCAACACTGGTTGATTGACTGAACAGCCGAGCGGCGTTGCCTCTTTGAGAGACTGATGTTTGCTTGCGTCCTCTCGAGCGAGCATCTGCTCGATAGCCAGAGGCAGACAAGGCAAGGATGAAGAAGGCTAGTGGACTTCGAAGATCCCGCTCGCCAGATTTCACTTCTGTGTGCACCCAACGGCATGCAAATGGCCGCGGCTGTGCCGACAAGCTCGCCGAAAATCCTCTGCAAGGAATGGGCGATTGCATGGCCATGGGTAGTGCGGCAGTTTCCATTGTCTACAAGCTGCCCCCAAATTGGACGACTTGTGTATGGTAGCTTATGCTGTCATGCTAGCCTGAGTGCGTTGACCATCGCAGTGGAGAGTGATCACACCTTTCACCTGATTCATAAGATTATCCGTTCTTCGGCATCTTTGGGCCAGTGCTGTCTGTAGATCTGTGTAGCGAGGGAAAGGCACTGGCAAGCCGGATTCAAGGACTCAAGCGCTGCAAAAGCGTGCCTGACACTCAGGAACGTCACGGTAGCACAGGCGCCGAGGTAGCCCCAGTGCTCCGAAGTGAGATCCGTGGCATCATTACCCCAGACCCTGCCAGCAACATGACTCCACAATGAAGCTTTGATGGTGACTCGAGGGCCTGTAAAAGTACTCCGGGAATCTGTACGAACTGTCACCAAGAAGCTTGGCGCGGCAATACGGTAGATACCTTAGCTTCCGCTTCCTGACGAGGTGGGTCAAGGCATTGCAGGTCAACACACTGATCCAAGATGCAGTGCATACAGCTGGTAGCCGATGAACATGATGCTCACTGCCTTGGAGCGAACCATGTGGGATCAATCACCGAGTATGGATCATCAAGCCAAGTAACGGAAAGCACCAAGGTCAACAGCCACGCTATACAATGCACTAACCTGAGCATAGGCTGCGAAACAACACAGCTGCTTAACATCAGCACAACGATTTCAGTACCCGGCCAAATAAACCAGTTGTCAGGCACTAAATCCTGACACAAGCATCGTGCTTACCTGGAAACGCTCTCTTATCGCACACTGTGCAACATGCGGCCTCTGCATCGAGATCATCGGTAGCACTGCTTTCCTGAGGCCTGCAGCAAGCCCTGCGCTGATGCTACGGTTGCAGGATTCCGCGACTCATAGCTGTCATTGGTGTGCCTCGTCATAGCAGCACGTGGTCTGTTACAGTATGTCAGAAGCTATTCCTGTTTGAGTATTCAGAGGGTAGATTCAGAGCAAGCCAGCATAGAAGGTGTTACAGAAGCCTTCTCCTCTACATTCTCATGCTTGAAGGCTCCAGCCCACATAAACTGTCGCTTGATCCTGGACTTCGGCAATCGCAGAACAAAGCGAGAGACAGAGGGTGCCCAGAAATGCGATGCATGGAAACTACTTGTGCTTCACATCGAAGGCGATGATATTTGTCGGGCTTTGCGGACACAGTGTGTTGTGTACACATTGACACGGTCCTTTAAACACTTCTGACGCAAGGTCAGTGAGTCCAGCACATCGAAGAACAACAAGGAAGCAGAAACCATTGTTCAGTAACATGTTTAGCCACCCTTTATCCAAAACTTGCTGGGTGAGAATTTCATGCCCAGCAACACAGCCACTCTGTGCCACCTTGTCAGTAGGTGCGTGCACAGACAGGAATCTCAAGAGTGGAATGCATGAGAGCGAGGGAGAGCGAGAGAGAGCGGGAGGCAGGGAGGGAGGGAGGGAGGGAGGGAGGGAGAGAGCGAGAGAGAGTGAGAGAGAGAGAGAGAGAGAGAGAGAGAGAGAGAGAGAGAGAACGCAAGCGCAAGCGCCAGAGCGAGAGAGCGAGAGAGTGCGAGCGCGAGAACGAGAGCGTGAGAGAGCAAGAGCGAGAGAGCGAGTGCGAGAGAGGGCGAGAGGGGGAGAGGAAAGGGGGAGGGGGAGAGGGAGAGAGGGGGGGTAGAGGGGGGAGAGAGGGAGAGGGGGAGAAGAGTGTGTGAGGAGCAGGCACAGGGCAAGGGCGGAGCGGATGAGAGCAAGGAGAGCGAGGAGGACGATGCTGAGACGATCCAGAAAAGCAAGAGTACATCCAAGCACAACACTTGCAACACCTCTGGCACATCTGAGAAGCCGACCTGAGCAGGAACTGGCAACCCATGAGCACCGAGACCTGGAAACCGTAACGCTTCAGGGCACGGCAACCCACGGGAATGACTGCGACTTCCTGCCAAACCCAAAACACCTCCTTCCTCATTGATGTATTAGTTCGGTCTTCTATTTCAACCTAGTAGGAAGTGTTTTTTGTGGCCAGGGCGACCTTAGCAACCAACAGTGCCTCAGAGATTCAAAATTATGAAATGCTGAAGCACTTGTCGGGTTGCTTGGAGCCAATTCGTTGTGTCCTGACTTCGGCTGGATGTTCTCTACGTTCCACAACGAGGGGCTACTCACATCCTACATGCCTACTGCGTGCAATGGCGCGGTGGGATTCTGACATGGGCTCTAAGGCCCATCCCTGCCATGAATTCCACGACGTGTCCACGCCCCCGGCTGCTTGACATTCGCCGAGCTGCTGCGCAAATGTCCCCACAGCCTATTCTTGCCAAGCACGGCTCAGCTGACAAAAGCTTTTTGCGAATTCTGGGTTGGCTGTAAGGAGAGAAAAGCTCTGGAGCCATGCTCGGGCCGGAACGGAAGTTCTAGGCTTGAGTTGGTAACTCTACATGCACGAACATTGGCACGATCTGAGGCCACACGCATCATACCATTGTATGGGAGCGGTAGCGCCAGTTGGCTTTCAAAGAACCATGTGCGTCAGGGGCAGCTTCATGCCTCGACTGTAACATCATTGGGTTTCTGACTTTTGACTCGTAGCTGACCGAGCAAGATGCACATGGCTGCCAAGTAAGGTCTAGTAGCATTTGCCTCAGCTAGTCAAAGAACTGCAGGGAGTTTGGATTGAAGGTGCAGTTACCGGCTTACAGAATCGTACAGAATCGTACCGTTGTCATGTGGCTCCAAACTCCCTGCATCTACAGGTATCAGTCGACATTAACTCCGGCTCTAACCTGCCTACGCCTACTCGGGCCTACAATGGCCTACACCTACATCAGATGAATTAGCAACGCCTGCGATTCGCCAGCTTTGCGGCCTGGACTGGACCCGTGTCGCGTCATCTTCGGACTATCGCAGAGCTTCTTGTTACAATCAGAGGAATCTCAGGCTGCAAGCACGAATGCGATTCCTTGGCCGTCTGCAGAGAGACTGCCCTTCAGAGACCTGGAGGCACCTCGACGTGGACCTTGCAGCATTCTCTGTGTCTCGCACTCGCTCCCACACTACTGATGGAAGAAGTATTCGAGAACGGCGCTTTGGAGAAGGGTCCACCTGCCAGTATTCGGACTTGGATGCGAAGCATGCTAATGACGTGATGGAGGTAGCACAGCGCAACAGTATCTTAAGAACTGCAGAGCGGGGGAGGGCCGGGAGTTGAACACGCCCTGAGGGAGGAACTCTCGCTGAAGAGGACTTTCTGCAGAATCACGTCGTCTCCGTATCCCTCCTCGCTTAGGGCGGCTGGTTGAGGTCACAAGCACACCAGTAGGCGCATGTTGTCCTCAAATGAGCTCCCACACGCCGATGACCTGGCACTGTGGCAACCCTTGGCACCACATGGCCTACTCTCAAAGTCTGCCGGCGAAGCTTGCCAGCTGTCGTCACGGGCGTGAACTCATCTTCGACGGCCTGGAATTAACAGGCTTGCCTCAAAGCAGAACCAGAGATTCAACGCACGGACGAGCCTTTGCATGGCACAGCGCCGGCGTCAGAGGATCCTCGAAATCAGACCTGTGCACGGTCCATGCGCCACGTTCTGTAGTCCCTCTGCGGAGACTTGGGGCTCGGCTGAGCAGCGCGTGAGACCTGCGCGTACACACAGGAAGCGGAACCCCCGCAACGATTCTCCCACCAATGCCTCCCTGGGGATGTTCAGGACTGATTCTAGAAGGTCGGAACCTTTGGTGGAGCTACATGGCATCCAGCTCAACAGCAAAGCTCGTGACGCGGCCTCTGCCAGATCCCCAACCTGTCACTGCACACAAGCAGCTCACCTCGCTACCTCACTGCCCTCCCTGTGTTCCCTCTCAGGACTTCGCCAGTTGCGTTCCAGACCGGATGCTGCGACCAAGGGTATGATCGCGTCACCTCGGGAGTCTTCCGGAGGACGCCTTCCTCCGAACAAGCCCTGAGGTGGCCGCATCAGACCAGGCGGATGGAGGATGAAAGAAGTTAGAGTACCTGCGACACGACGAAAGTCCAGAGATGTTGTTCCTTTCGAAAGGTGGCTTTGGGGAGAGCACGACGAATCCTGCCAGGCGTAGGGATCCCAGGCCTCGCACCTGCAAGCTGCTCCGGCGAGCTCCGGCGAGCTCCGGCGCCCTTCGTCCTTTCGAGTCTCTGAGGCGCGACCTGGGCATCGGCGGCATCGGCTCCTGAGCTCGGCTCTGGCTCTCTCCTCTCAGAGGCGGCTACTGTAGCGGCATATAGTGCCTGCATAAACGGCGCCGATGGATAAGATGGCTCCCACTGCCTCAATGCCATGAACACATTCGCAAAGCCCGGTCCATTGCAGCACTTAGCATTGCAGCATATTATATTGCAGCTTTGCCACGACCAGACGAGGCTATCATCCAGAACCTCGCCGCCAACCCTTGTGTGGCTCTCGTCTACGAGAGCAGCTTACGTTTATGTTAAAGTTCACTAATCATCAGTGCTTCACCGAGGGAGAGACCGATCGGGCAAACCCGCCTCACAGAGTCAGACATCACTCGTCTGAAGCCGGAGGCATCAGCCAGCAAATGATGGATGGTGGACAACTGCTAGATCGTGGCTTCATAGACTGGACCGGTGCCTGTTTCGTCATCACCTTGTCGTGGCCTGCCGAAGAGAATGCATGGCTCCCTTTACCCATCTCAAGCGTGTGCTGGCGCTGGGTCAACCACCTTTGCCGGGATGCCGTCTCCAGTGCAGATCTCAACATGGTCTGAACCTGAACGCCCACACGCTTCTACAACGTCGCTTCAGAAGTCTTCTGTACCATCAATGCCGCTGTAGAAGCATTGCTCTCGATGTGATGCGCAATCGCAATGAGAACCTGCTGCGCGTCCGCCTCAAGCTACAAGAGTTTTCGACGCGAGATTTCCAATGCTTTCATGCATCACACTGCCATCTCATAAAGCTGACTGGCCTCTAACCCTCGCATGCCCGCAGTCTCGAAGACACGCCGCAGAAGATCTACAGACAATGCGGAGCATGCCTGCAAGCGAATGCATGAGCCATGTGCAGAATTCTGCAGGAAGGCGGCTGCGGTCCTCTTCTGCGTGAGCACGGTTGAAGGCAAAGTCAATCAACTGAAGGGCGGTCCCCACCTGTCAGACTCACCACAGACTCACCACTTGCAGCTCTGCCTCTCAGAAGATCCGACTAGTCCGAGGACCCCGGCCTCTCCACGAGCAAGGGAGGCCTCGAGGACGGCGCCGTACATGGACGCCCTGCCGCCGGTCCTCGAAGCGCTCTCGCACCCTCTGACTAAAAACTAGGATCGCACCAACTCCTCAGAAAAGTCCAATTGCTGAATCCAGCACATTGCAGCAAGAAAGGTCTGGCGCAGTTCTCAATAAGGGGTGGATATGTTGAAGGAATGCTTGGCAATCTGACAGAACCAGCGGGCATAATCTCACTCTGTTGATCATAACCTTACGACAGCTGCTCTGCAGAAGTGCTGTGCCAGCAGCTGAAGTTGCACGGGGTCCTATACACTTGCATTATGCAAACCCGCCCTGACCTTGCGATGATGTATGCTGGCACTCGACCCGAACATGGAAACATTCACGCCCAAACAGCATCAACACGGTCCCCAGTGTCACAGCGTCACTGTCCAACAACTCCAGGGCCATGACCTGGAAGAGGATTGGCGTCAAAGGGGCTGTCGTCTACAGCGAGCTTGGCAACATAATCCGAAATAACTAGAAAAGAAGCGCAGTAAACAGAAGACCAAGACGATACTGGACTGCTACAGCAGTCGTTGGATCAGCGCCGGCCGTGTCCGATGACTGAGGAAGGCACAGCTCTGTTCAGATCTCGCGACTTCAAGCAGGAAGTTATGAGGCAGGACCAAACCTCGCAAAACAAGCTGGAAGTTCTGCTTGTCGGCTCTTCCCTAGCCACCCTGAACATGCTTTTAATCTCAGCTCACAGAGCGTTGCAGATCCTCGAAACTGCAGAGAACGAGCCACGGGAGACAACGGAGAGCAAGCTCCCTGGGCCATGGATCAGTAACACCATGGGAGACTTAAACACCCGCCAAGATGACAAACGCGAACGATAAGACTCCAGATCCCTTCAGGAGACTTAAACTGCTCCCTTGAGCAACTACATAGCCCGAGGACTCCACTGCCCTTTCCCAAGACCATTGCAGACAGTCAAGCAAAACCAAAGCCATGACTCCAGTATGCATCGCATAAGTCCGGGACCATCCGTGTCGGCTGCACACCGTGAATCTGGCGCATCTCCTCACTGATATGTAAATAGACAAGTCGAGTCAACAACGAGGCACAGAAGGATTAAAGCCCGGCAAATCTGGTCACTTCCTCCCAGCTCCTAAGCTGATCAACCAACCCAACATACACGTGAGCAATGCGATGGCGAGACACGGCTGTCGAGCTGAAACAAGTCTGAACCTTCAACAAAAGGCAGGACATGTCCTTTGCCACCAGATGCACGGCCAAGTCAAGACGTCCAGCATGCGAGAGAAGCTGCAGAGAGGGGCTGACTAGGAAACAAATCCAACCGAAGGAGGACCTGCTTGCATCACATGCATCACTGCCTTGACCAGAATCGAGAAGGTCACAGCACTCGGCCGGACATGCTTGTGCCGCATTTCCGCGAACATGCGCAGGCCTTTGCCCAGAGCGACAGGCAAGCCGGGACGTTTTGTACTTCTGCTTGGTGCAGGCTTTTCAGGCAAGTAGGCGTTGATTCTGCCAAAATCGCTAGAGACCCGAAGGCCCGCCTCGGAAGTGTACACAGTGGTCGTCGTCGCCGTCTTCGTCGTCGGCGTCGTCGGCGTCGTCGTCGTGGTGCAGTAGCGGCAGTGACAATAGCTGTGGTGGCGCCAACAACAAAGCAACAATACCATTGACAGCAACAGCACAGGGATAACAGTAGCGATAATGGTACGAATACTACCAGCTACCAACAATACGATGAGTTGCACCAGCAGCCGATAACATTAAGTCATCCAAATCATCATGCTACACCTACTCGGCCTGTGATAGAAGCCAGAGCCATTGGAGTTCGTAATCTGTGCTTTTAAGTTTCGGATTCTCCAAAACGTCCATATCGGACACTTCCTGAGTCTTGGCCCGATCATGGCACACAGTTCGGATTCACCCGACAAATGAGCAGAACATGCATGTGTGGCTGATCCCGCTTGTGGCATGGGGCTTCAAGGTTGATGCTCCGCCTAGCACTCGACCCGCACCGTCGAGGTGTCACCCACACTACCGGACACAAAGAAATCAAAACAACTTCTTTAACCAAAGGAATCGTATACACCGCATGTACTTGCAGCTCGAACAGACGAAATATAGAAGCATGCTCAGGCATGGTCGCCAAGCCAGCCACGCAAAGAAGTCTAGATCATTGTGCAGTATTGCTATTGCTTAATTATCATGCTGTGGTTAACTATGCTGTATTGCTATATTGCGTTCTAAATCACTTTGACAGGTAGCTAAAGAACCATGCTGTGGATGGCAACAGTGATTTTGATGGTGGCAATCATCATAACTAGCAGCTTCGTCCCTATTGTGGTGGTGGTGATGGCGATAGCAAGCATGATAACCCAAACAGATGATTCTGGCACAGATGATCATCATCATCATCACGGTCACCATCAGCCGCGTTGTCGTCGAAAACACCATCATCATCATGATCACCAATTCGGGTGCTTGTCATCGTCTCCGTCAAAATCGCCTTCATCATCATTTATCGCTATTCCGATAAGTCGAGTTGTTATGTGTCATCACCACCATTATCACAACATGATGACTGTCATCATCACCATTGTCATCTCCATCATCCTCCATGCGGGCTGAGGCCACGACCGAGTTGGAGATCGCCAGCCTCACATACTACTGCCGATCTTAAGTGTTCGGGAAAACTCATCGCGAGGAAACACTAGGAGCCTTCACGCAGCCTTCGAGAAGCGAGTTGTACACAATCTCCTGACCAAAATTTCTGAAACCAACTCAGCGGTCCGGCTGCCTAGGGTCGCACGTCACACTCCAAATGGCGAGCTTGGAGTTCTTCTTGAAGCCGCATGGCCTTTCGCGGTGGCTTAAGTACTTCCGGCAACCTTCTTTCAACCCTCCGAAGGATGTAAGTGTACTGGGCCCAGGCACCTTTGGCAAGTCACCACTGCTGCAATATCCTTTGATCAGTGTGCTGAACCTGGCCAGATTTGCGAAAGGACGTCATAAAGCGGTCTCCAAACCTTGAGAGCGGGACGTAATCAGATCAGGCTGCACATTCGTGGCAGTCATTTCCTGAAGAACCTGTTGCATAGGTGCAGCCTTTCTTCTGTCACCAATCAGGCTAAATGCGCGACCCAGTTTGAGCCTCGGCTGCACCCTGCAAGTCGCAGGCACGGACGCAGGCATCGATCAAGCTGTTGAAGACAACCACATTGCACCTAAATCTTCAGCGCTTCAGACTCCAAACATGAGATCTGTATTGCAACCGCGCGCGACTCGGCACACCAACACTGCACAGTCACGTGCGCCATTTTATGCTGATTGTGTGTGTGACCACTTTCGTGTTGGAACGACTCTCCTGCTTGGCAGTGTGGATCTGTGCCACCTGATCGGCTTGTTTGTTGTTTTCTTGTTCTGGCCATCAAGTTGATGATATCACTCTTCCCAGTTCTTTTCCACCGCCCGCCAGTTCTCGCAGCACTAGCTCACTAGCAGCAGCGCCCAAACAAAGATGACAGTAACAAACTGTAGACCAAGCACGGCAAGTGAAGGCCGAGTCGGGAAACCGAATCGACAGAGACCTGTTCGACACCGGAGTTCCCACTGTCGAAATCATCGAATTCCATAGTGCAAGGGGCGGGGAAGAGAGGGTGGAGGCTTGCAACTTGGATTCGACCAGGGCTCGTGCTCTTGGATGCTGGCAGAGAGTGAGGGGGAGGGCCCGTAGTCTTATGGGCAGAGCAAAAGAGGGCATGACAAACGGCTCCTGATCTGGTATACAGTTTTGGCATAAACTCAGAAGGTCATTCCGCACACACACCGCACCATGACGCACGTGCAGCAAAAATTGGCAACCCAATCTCAGGAACAACCATGGATTGTAACCTTGCAAGCGTACAGCTTCAGTGGCAATTCCTCGCACAGTGGTGGTTGTCTGCTGTTCTCTGCGCCGAGGCATGACACAACATAAAAGACCCAAAATCGAATCAACCGACCAAACCGAAAAAGGACGATTGAGCATGCCAGATTCTGAGTCCACGGCGGTACCTGCTCGGAGCACATCTCTCGATACAAGTTCATTGCCGCAGATGGATCCTTTGTCTTCGCGAAGCCCTGCCGAGCACGGGAAAGTCTTCTTTCTTACGTTGCGGACAGCTGGTCGACACCTTGATAAGAGTGGCATAGAGAATCGTGTTCCTGTGGAGGCCCCTCTGCTTCATGATCTCAAAAGTCTGCAGCGCCTGCACAATCGAACTCTTCATTCCGTGTACTTCTTCCGTCGCAGAAAGCTACTTCTCGCGCCCGGTGGCGATCACAAAAAGAAAGCTCACATCTGCTCCAGCACAGAAGCTTACCATCGGGCTTACAATGGTCTGCATGCTGACATGGTGGCAAAGAGTCACAGCCTTGTCCAGGTGACCGCATTTGACACAAGCATCGAGCATGCATCCGTAGGTCACCTCGTACACGGGGGAAAGAAAAGCAGCTTTCAAACCTCTGAACTTTGAACACAAAAAAGACTGGTTTGTCCAAGCTGCCGCATTGGCTTCCAGACCTTCCCGATGCATCTCGGCCCAAGCCTGCAAAATGGGTGCTGTCAAGACTCCACTGATGCCCACTCACCCCGCCTCCACTACTCGGTCGATGTTGCCTGCATGTCCGTATGCCTGAGAGCTGTCAATGAAAATGCTATCTGGCAATTCTGCCGGACCCGGACGGCCTTCACAATGGTCCCATATGTAACAGCGGAGCCCTTGATTCCATACCGCTTCATCAGGGCCAGCGTCTCCTGCCGCGCGGTCTGCGTTCCTGGGGCGCCTTCATTGAGGCCCGGGGCCTCGAGGCGAGACATGTCGCCCAGCTTGCAGAAGACGTCTAAGAGGGAGTTGACGAGGACCTGGCTCTTCGAAAACTGTGTTCCCTCCGGGAAGGGGGTGCAGCACACCTCGTCCACGTCCTCCGGCTGCATCTGCAAGAAGCGCTCCACCATCATCACCCCCCGCGGCACACGCCTCAGAAGCGAAATTGTTCCTTGATTCATGTGGCGTTCCTGTGCTGACAACTGTGAATCTTGATCGGAGCGGTGCCGTTTATCAGAGATTCTGTCCGACAAATGCTTTGTCAAGATTGAGACAGTGTACCTGCTGACAGATCTCCGAATGAAACGCCGATGACACATGATAGGATGCATGCAACTGTGGATTGCATGCGCACTTGTCTGCACTCATGTCTTGAAGCTGCATTTCCTGTGATTGCAGAAGGCGCTCGCCGGCCGACGAACCGTTTGACCGGACCACTGCACACTGATTCGTGCACGTGCCTCTAGAATGTCAAACGCCTCGTCGAGATAACGCGGTCCCGATCGAGCTGCAGAATCCATGAGCATGTTCAAGGAACCCTGCCACATGGCTCGCAAACGCACTCAGGAAGAACTGCAGTGTCAGTGCCAAGCACCTCGTTTGGGTTGTGGCCAAAGCGAGGCATCTCGTTACGGACAAGCCATCGAGCCTGTCACAACTCGAACCTCATGCATGCTTTCGGTCAAAGCTTCGCTGCCGAATTGCCTTCTCAAAGGAGCTACGGGAGACGAGCCCGCGCAGCATTGCCTCAGGACTCAGGACATCTACAGGGACATCCCACAAGTTCCACAGCGACAACAGAAGTCTGCGAGTATGATCGGCACGTTGAAGGCGCCGGCACTGACCAGCTTGACCTGAAGCGAGCAGCGAGCGGTGCATTTTCGCGGGATCTCACCTTGCACTGAAAGCAGAAGGGGCCTCAGTGTGCCGCAACTCTTCCAGAAGACCCACTGCCTGAATCGAGAGCGGACAAGCGCAGCACATGAATGGCAAGCGCTAGACCTGGTCCAACTTGTCGAGATTTGCATACGTCTCAAGCAGATAGTGCCTGTGTGGCAAAGTCTGCGACAACTCTTACAGAAGTCCTGGCCAGCGATGATTCACATGCCGCATGAAATACAATTCAGGTTCTAAGTAAGTTGATGAAATGCTGCCGACCAACAAGAGAGCGCGCAGACCGCCAAAGACCTGCAAGCATTTATTTGCAAGCCTCTGCAGTTCGCCACAAGCTGAGGACTGCTGCACGAACTTGGCATCCAAACTTCCTTCGATTTGGCCCTCGCCCCCACCGCTGTTCGAACCTGCTTACTTGCACACTGCTGCCGTCTCTCACACACTTTTCTGACATCTTCCTGGCCTGGTGAAAAAGTTCTTGAGCTTGCTGAACTTTACATTCCTGCTCTAGTCGGACTGTGTCTGTCGTATATGACTTCGCTTGCATGGTAGCGATCGGTTTCTCACATCTGAAGCGAAACAGTCCTGAACTGCAGCGAGGAAGTCTTGAACGCTTTTTGCCGGCAACGCCTCGTGCAGCGGCACACTGTGAATGACAACACCGATGCTGTTTCCAAATCATGCACAGCCCATCGCCTTCAAGCTGCCGGCTGCAGGAGCTGCTGCAGATCGAAACGTCATGCCGCCAAAATTCCTGCAAAGACACATGCTTTAAGGAGCGAGCAACGCCCTCAGCATGACAACCAGACGGGATGAACACACCTTGTCGGGCGACCACCTCGCACATTGTCACATGGTTCAAGTCAAACATCAACTATAAAAAAATTCAGATATTCATCCCCATTGCTCATCCATTCGGAGGCCTGTCGGAATGCCAGCGCGCCCCTTGCACACGCACGGATTGACAACTCCAGACTCAAGACACTGCCAATTCTCAGGCGGAAGCCTTGCGTCCAGTGACTGGGCCAGGGCCTCAAGACCGGCCAAGGCGTAGGAGTAAGCATCAAGCAACCGACAAAGCCGCCGGCATTTTGGCTGCATCCTGAATAAGGCCCGCATTCTATGATGCTGTCATTACCCCCACCACAACCACCTACGTTGTTGTAAACGTTGTGTTGTGTTTACAGGACTCAAATCCAAAACAAACCTGGTATGATTGTCCACAGGTATGCATGCATCCATGCATGCATGTAACATCCCCGCATGAATTTCCGATGGCATCGTACTACATGCATGGCATGTTCGACCTCTTGACTTGTTGTTGTATGGAGCCAAAAGCTACATGACGGAGCAAGAAACCATGGAACCTTTGTGCTTCTGATGATGCTCTTTAATTACACCGCTACACACACCAGTCTCAAAAAATAGTTTGTTCAACCGGGCTTTCAAGCAAGCTTCATGCGAATGGAAATCGAAACAAACTTCGATCGCACATCAGCGCACAATGCTGGATGCTTTGCCGTCTCGCATGAATGCCGACCCCATTGGCCGATAATAAGCTGCCGCACATGGTTGTTTTCTGAGAAGAATCAAGGACGTAATCGTTCGTATCTTCAGGTTCGACATGACTGTGTGGTTGGCTCGCATCTGTTTCGAACAGAATTTATAGTTTCACTGGGAAAGAAAGTTTGGCTCGATCAACATCTCTTTCAACAGTCACCAGAGCTTTACTCAAAACTTACTCAATTATGTATGAACAATAACGAAATCAAAACGCTCCAAATATGTACTTCACAGAAGTAAACAGTAAAAGTCACATGCAGTCTGAGTGCAATGTTTTCTAAAGATTCTAAAGGTGGCATGGAGCATCTGAACGATAGAACAAGAGAAACGTTTGCGTTGGACATCCCAGGCAGTGAATGCGGCACATCCCGCAACCTGGGTGTGTGGTGGGAAACAAAAATTGGGCCGTGCTTGCCTCAGAGCACGGACAACTTGCAGCACTCATTTTTTCAGGTTCCTATACCACGCAACACAAAAGGCTTCCAGCTGGACCGTGTACAACCGTGTGTCAGCAGACAGCAGTGCAAAAAGACAACCTGCTTGAGATTGTTCTAGATTGCAGTACTAACATCATGTCTTGTCGTTGAATAACTATTCTGAACAGATTCCTTTAAATGTGCTGAAGAGTGGTGGACGAGACAAAGAGGAGATCACAGAAGCAAAACAAAGCTGTCCGAGCAAGTGCGTTTGTCTTAGTTGAGCTGGGGGCAGCGCAAGGATCGAAACTACTTCATTGTCATGTCATGTCCAATGTTCGGATCATGTTTTACAGTTTTAAAAAACGGAAAAAATAAACCGATGTAGGCAAGCTGCAATAGTTGTTTATTTTACTCGAAAACGATGCTCAAACACAATGTCTTTCAAAAGTTCAATACTGACTTTCAACTTCAACCTCCCCCGCGTTAGAGGGGAGAAGACTTCTCAAGCCCCCTTCGAGAAGCCACTTCTTCTCAAACTCCCTTCACCGAACTATGCTGGAGCATGCCCAAATTGAAGTTGAGATTGACGGGTAAAATAGTTCTGGATTCACCACATTGCGCTGCTAGAGGAAACTACCTGCGCAAGAGAGTTGAGCACCAAACGCTCCTTCTAGATGTCCTGTACCCAGCCATCGAGTTGCTTTTGTTTGACTAAGAAAAGCAAGTAAAAGCGTTAGTTTCCGAGGGACCTC